AAAAGATGGTGCCACACTTCCGCGTTCAATTTTGACGGGGGTGTCAGATTTTTGGGTACTTTGGTGGGAGCGAAACTTCATTCCTCTCCCGTAATAGTGAGCATGCGGGGACCCAAAACGGCCAATCTTGAGATACATCACCAGACGGTAGCGGACAAATCATCTCATACTTGGACCAGCATATCTTATGCAACGCCCGGTGCACATCACTCCAAGCTCTGGGAATCGAGGTAGGGATACCAGGACTTGGCAATCTCTTCCCTGGCAGGCAACTGGTCACGCGCCGATTAGTCCATCGTCGTCTGTAGGAGAAGCTGAGCCCTCCTGCTCTACCAATTAATTATTTTCATCAGTCTTTCGAGCAACTGCACATGCACTATTGGATGCGCCTACAAGGAAAGGCTTGCATGGAGAGGAGAGGAACAGCGCAGACTCATCTCGTATCCATACTCAAGGCTGATCACTCCACTATTTTCAGCGGGATCCCCTTTTCTTACGGACTAGAACCAATGAAGATGGAGCTTTCAGCCCTTCCTCGTATCCATGGCGCTCAGATCGGCCGCTGGTTGGCCACTGCGGATCTTGAGACAAAAGGGGTTGCAGGGCATTAACGAGTCAGGGTCTAAGCCACCTTGTGCTTTTCACTACAATGAGAAATTAGGAAATTCTATTCTGCGAACGGAAGAGTAATAGAAGAAATACATTCAGATATATCACGTGATAACCTTTAGCTTCTGATGGTTTACGTTTCCAAGATTCTCGAAACTATACTTGATGACAGTGAATAACGTAGACTGACATACCGTAATCATGTATGTGGAAGGATTAATCAGACCTCATACTGCTCTCTTACGATCTTGGGGGTCAACGAACAAAGGGCTATTTCGTCATCGTTCACAGCCCTAACCAATTTACTTCAGAGAAAACTTATACTTTGAAGAAACTGATCTTTTTTCAAAAGACATCGTGACAGCATAACTGATACTGTGATGAGGATGCTGTAGGGTAATGTAGCATACCTGTACGCGTCAAAAACAGCAACCCTGGTTCCCTTCCAGGCAGCAGCCGCGCTAAGTTGACCCGAAAATACTAATTGCCACGCGTAAACTAGACGCGTTTTGACGCGGTAAGTGGTATTGAAACGACTGAGTGCTATCACATGACTTTTGAGTCACGTGTGAGGATGAGCATCTTGTTTGAGATGGCACAAGAAGTGGCATTCAACGGATAATTGTTTTTCCTCGCTAATACGAGATTGCAACAGTAGACTTTGTTGAAACTTGAAAGTACACTTTGTTGAGGTCCGGCTATCTGGCATATGGCGTAAAAGTGTTTTCTGGCAGCTGTTCTCGTTGACTAAGCCTTTTTTTTTCTCAAATCAAACATGATAGGTAGTATTTCGATCAAGCTCATGCATGTGATATCACTGTTCAAGCCCATCTATTTGTCATGTCACTTGGGCTCACCCGATCCAACTCTTATACTTGTCTATTCTTCTTCGCAAGGTCCCCCTCCGAGACGATTGTTGTAGGGCTTTCATTTAACGGAAACACACCTGAAAGCTTCGCGGTGGCAATAAGATCCTTTGCAGTGACCGTTCGTGTTGTGCTGGACATTGTGGTACGGATGGCGTTACTCATGGCATTTTTGATCTTGAGAACGATTAGAACGACCCGCAAGAGATGCCTAAAAAGCACGGGATTCTATCAAAACTTACCTGACGCCCATTAAGTGGGATAGCGGCTAGTGTATCGAGATCTGTTTCGCTGAGATCCAAGGTGACTCGAGAGTTTGATGTAGCTTTGGCAAAATTCTGCCAGATACTCTTCCGCGCTGCGAGGTCTGGAGCATCATATTGAAGGGATAAATGAATTCGGCCTGTTCATCACGTGAGCAAGTGCCTTGACCCATAATGAGAGTCGGGATGCGTAATTTCACTTGACATACTTTGGAACGCTTGATCGATGAAATTAGCATGGTTTGTCGTCAGAATGAGTATCCCCTGGTAGTATTCCAGCTCCCGAAGAAAAATGGAAACGATTGCATTGCGCTTGATGTCTGTCAAGGTGCGCGCGGCGAGGAACACGTCTGCCTCGTCCAGGAGCAAAACTGCCTTCCAGTGGCTGGCAAGCTTGAGTATCTGGGCCAACTTCTTATGGATATCTTCGGCTTCATGGCCTAGGGCGCCACTAGATACCATATAGAGCGGCATCCTGGCCGTTTCTGCTATAGCTTCTGCCGTCAGTGTTTTCCCGGACCCGGGAGGTCCAGATAGCAGGGTGATAAATCCCTTTCCTTTGCCTTTAATAAAGTCATCAAACCCAGAGTCGGCGAAATTAGATGCTATAACTAGCTTTGTTACAGTATCCTTGAGTGATTCATCGAGTACCAGGGAATCCATGGCGTTCCTGAAGAATGGGTGTTAGAAGTCCGGACAATAACACGGTGGTTGCGGTGGAACGGATCATTCTTACGTGTTCCAGGTAACGTCCCAAACCCTTTCTACGGCGAAACCACCTGGAAAAGTCATTAGCAGTGGGTCAGTCATATCAATGGGTCATCAAAGAGTACCCCACATCCCGTCCTGCATCGAGTATCCGTACACAAGGCCGGAGACAAGCAGAAGCTGCTCTTTCGATAGTTGTTCAGGCTGGATAGCTACGGGTTCTGCTTCGGGGGATAGTGAAGAAGCAGATGGGTTAGGATGAGATGGAGGAAAGCCTCTTAGTCGCAGTTTTTTGGGCCGCTTTGCTTCATTCATGCTTTCCGTTAAGAAGTCTTTGGAATCTTTGAGAAGGTCGCTAAGAATGTCCTGTTCCTTCTGGGTATAAATGCTAGTAACATGACAAGGCTGCTTGACTTACATCTTCACTTTTCATAAGATCCGAGATCCATATTCTACCATGCTGACGAAGTTTCTCCAAGTTGAGGCTGAATGTGAGAGGATGGAAAGGGTTTGTCGTTCGCATCATCTTGGGGTCTATAATGACACGACCGCTGAACTTTAATACAGGAATTAGAAACGAATTTAGATTTTAAAGATAGGAGAATCCACAGCAACTCACAGGGTATAATTCAAGCTCCTCACGAGGCGTGGCCAATCCAGTGCCTTGGTGTTCCTGAAGTTGGAAGCCCAATTTCCAAAATCTGAGAGTTTGGGTGTTGCGTTGCTGGATATGCTCAATGACTTCGTCGCGTCGGGGATGGTGCTTTAAGGGTACGTAAGGGAGCTCTTCAAGAGCCCTGAAGCCCTCGAAAATTGGGATTTTAAGCGATTCCTGTTTGTATCCCATGTCATCACCGTCCCATTCAAGAACCTCAGCTTGCATTACGAAGAAGATCCTCCAATCAACGGGTACGGTTGCATGGCTGCGCACTCGCCAGATTCGTGTGAGATCTAGAGAATCAATGCCCACGACCAGGGAATCGGGTGGAAGAAGGGCCCAAAGGTACTCGAAGGTGATTGAATGAGGTAATAGTGATGGTAGTATCGAATTCATTGTTTCATACTCCTCCTCGATGAATTTCAATGCCGCATTCATCTCAAACAAGGCGACCTTGTCTGCAACGCTTGAGTAATGCTTGGCGAGCATCTGAAGTTCTGGTTTCGCCCAGAAGAGGAATTCGGGGCGAATCTAAACATCTCTGTTAGAATGCTGAACCCACTGAACAGGTTATTGAGATGAGATGCACCTCTGTATTCTCGCTGTCTGTTAGGCCAAAGCCTTGGGCGCCTCTCAATATATTTTGCAATGCATTCCGCAACTTTTGTCCTGGGATCCGTAATTTTGTATTGAAAGTAATCATATCCTCCGTGTATACCCTTAGCGCGTATATTACACACGGCTTGTGCTTCAAGGAGGATTCTCGAGGTTGGGCCGGTTTGCAAACGACATAGCGTCGCCTCACTCTGAAGAAAATGGTGCCATTAATAATTGGGTCTCTACAGAACGAACCTAGAGTAGAAAAAGGTACGCAACTTGGACCCCGAACGGCTTGTAGAGCACTTACTTGTCCCAGCTGTATAACAGATTAGCAAGAATCAGAGAGGCCTCAGCCCTTAGGAGCCAGACGTACTACTGGTCTTTTACAACAAATTCTTTGCGATTGAGAGGATCGTCATTTCCTGACTTGATAGGTTCAGCGGGAGCGACGCCCTCGTTTCCATTGGGGATGTATGCTGGCGGTTCTGGCTGCGCAGGAGCATCCTCCCTCTCATCCATGTTGTAGAACTTATCTATGGCTAACCATACGTATATTAGAGTTGTCTCAAACTTGGGCAGCCCATGTTGCTTACCACTACCCATATTCAGACCAAATTCGGTCTGCAATGATTGGATGATTTCGGAGGGAACATCCTTCCCTATCTGTATCTTGAACTGTGAGGCATCGAATACAGAGCCAGGAGCAGCCGTCGTTCGCTGCCTGGCCGATTGGCTGAGGGAATGGATATTCTGTGCATTGAATGACATGATGCCAAAAACGATGAGAGAGCGTACAGATGGAGACAAGAAAGAGTGATGGTATGCCTTTGGAAATCCAGAAGGAGAAGACAAGCGTGTGACTGTTTCTGTTTAGATGGCGCGGCATGTATAACGCAGTTGGGGGTTAATCTACCACGCAAGGCAACGGCGGTTTTTTGCAAGGCAACGACGGCTTTTCGCAAGGCAGTTTGGAATGAGGGGATGTGCCGTAAGCTGAGGATCCTGTGCCAGAGTGAGCTGCTGCGCCATGTTTCCATTGGACAGTGAGAGCGGGGTTATGTTACGGTGAGCCAAGATGGACACGTTTGTGGGACTTTAGCAATATTGAGGCGGCGTAAGTCGAACATGCACCGCGTCCCTGTTGCCTGGTGGCTCATCTATCACCCCATTGTACATTCGAGGATTGAGATGGAGGCGCACAGTAAGTCATCACAACACACTGGTCTTTATCTCTAGCCACGCCGTGGAACTCGTGGGACGCTTCATTACCAGAGTCCAGCCCTTGACCTCAATAAAATGGGTGATTCTAAGGGCCTAAGAGTTATTTGGCCTCCCAATGGCCTAAAACCACCTAACCACACACATGAGTAGGGGTTCATTCTCCTGCCCCATTCATAAGTAAACTGACCATTTTCTAGCATCGTGTTTGTACAGAACCAGAGATCTGTACTCGACTGGAAGGCAAAGAACGGAGCCATTCTTCCAGAGAAAATTGGACCAGAATTGGAGACAAGTCGTATTTTTGGATTTGACTATGATCTGGAGGATGCGAGGATCACCTCTGACGGCTTCTTTGAAAATGACATTATATTCGGCCCAGGTTACGATCTGTGTTCAAAGCTAAATGTCGTGAAGAGTATAGACAAGGTCAGTGCGACAATGCTCCTAATATCGAGATTCTCCGGAGTAAACGTTTTGACCATTATTTATAGGAGCACATCCCAATAACTTTTGTTGGCCATTCCGTCGGCGGTGTGGTCGTCAAACATGTGGGTGCGAGTGAGTCCGCGATTAATTAGTGACCATCTAACATTAAGTAACAGGCACTCTGGATTTCCAAACAGAGACCTCAGCTGGGAGCCATCTTGAAACAAACAAGCCACGTTATTTTTGTCGACACGCCTCATTCCAACTTGACTTGGAGCCTTTGGAAAACTTTATCAGCTGATCCCCAAAGGGAAAGCCGTGGCTGTTGGCAACTATGGTCAACCGCTGTTGATAGTGCGCAGGACAAATTTCGGAAGCTTGCGTGCTACTTTAACATCTCGTCGGCGTTTCTAGCATTGAGAGGCCCTGAAGTATGTATCCCCAATCATCCAAGTTTCGGATGCCAACTTAACCGTTATTGTTCGCTGCTTTAGGCATATCTTGATGGATATACCTTAGAAGATTCGCCAAACGGAAGGGTCTTCGAGTTTCCTGTGACTGAAAATCACAAAGGCCAAGACCGTATCAATAAAGATTTCATATCAGAATGGCTTCTTGATTGCATAAGAGAAACTAAATTTTGCCTGACAAGGAAAAATGCCCACGTTCTTAAAATCAAATCCTGGCTTGAATTCCAGCCCGAGATCATCAATGCTCATACATATGAGCGGAATCTTAGGCTGCGATATTCTGGCACCGGCAATTGGCTTTTGAACCATGCATCCTTTCGCCAATGGACTAGTGATGGGGTTCGGAGCCCAATCCTTTGGTTAACCGGCCCCGAAGGATCCGGAAAGTCGGTACTTTCTTCAGTGATCACTCACCATTTATCACAGACACTCCAGGACCCGGCCGCATATATCTACTTTTGCTCTCAAAAGCCTCGTTCGGCTTTTCAGCTAGCCTCCTTATTGGCTTTGCAACTTGTCGATTTTGTATTAGAGAAGAATGGAGGTGTAAGCATTGAAATTCTCCACGTTATTGAGGAGGAATCGAGTCGGCTCCAGCGAATTCACCGTCTGCTTAGGATTCTTGTGTCTCAGTGCCAGAGAGTCTTCTTCATTCTGGATGGGATCGACCATATGGGTCTCCCTGAAGGGATTGAACTGCCTTGGAGAGCGCAAGAAGTGGAAAGAACAACCCAACACATGGAAACCACACTTAAGTTTCTCATGGATTTGGCTCGTAACTCAAAATTTGGTTCTGTGAGAGTGTGGTGTTCTTCGCAACACACTAGCGGAATAGAGAACCTACTAATGAAAGATTCAGCTGCTACACGATTGCGCATGGAAGGCGATACAGTTGCGGAAGATATCAGGAGATACCTCAACCATCCTACCAAACAAGAACACGGTGAACTCATCTCTAAAGACGAAAATTCAGAAAATGATTACTCATTCATTCCTGAAATACAAAGAAACTTTCTCTTAGCCTCGTTGGTCAGAGAAGTCTTGGATACAGGAAAAAGCGTCCCAGGAGAAACAGACATGAATTTTAACTCAAGCCCAATAGACTTGGAGGCGATCTTCAGAAAGATCTTAGACGCTATTGACCATTCACATCAATCTCAAAAAACGAATCCACCATTCTCCTGGTTGTGAGTTTGAGTTAAGCACCAGAGACATGTATTGACACCTTTACTGATGCCTGCCTAACAGGGAGTTGCTCTCGCTAGTCACATTTGCGAGAAGGCCTCTGAGACTAACTGAGATCGAAGATGGCTTTGGTTGCTTAAAATCCGGAAATAACCTTGTCGCGGAAGAAATCGTCCAGTATTGCAAACCGTTCCTCAGATTTGTTCCAATACCAGGAACTTCGAGTGACGGATTCCTTATGATATCGAATAATTCTGTCTTGCGGTTTTTTCTAACCGTTCCGAAAAGCTACGAGTTGAAAGAAGGGACTGATCGGATTAGCCCTCTTGTGATCGCACAGATGTGTCTTCAGTGTCTTAAAAGCCCAGGGCTCAAGCCGAAGACAAGCAACTCCGAAATTAGCTCAGCATTCCTTCCTTATGCTGCAAAGTACTGGGTGCAGCATGTAAATGGAGTTTGGCCATTAGTTTCCGCCGAGACGAAATCTTTTATGCTGTCTCCTCGGTTCTTGGAGGTAATTCAAATTCAAAGCCGGCTGCTTGAAGGATATTTGACGAGAAATTTGGGCAAGCCTAAGGATGTCCAATCCACGCCCTTGTTGAATTATTTGCCATCGGACCCGGAAATGGAGATTTTGGAAGAAAATTATAGCTTTTTCCTGAGAGAATGGAATCATTTTCTGCGATCGGAGCCTCTACGGGAAACTCTTTATGGGAGCATATCGAATTGCTTTTGGGGAGCACTAGGGTCATCGAATTTTCTCACCCAACTTGGCGCAAAAATCCAAACGAATCGAAGTTTCCTCCTGGGATTAAGTCCTGTTGAGGGTAGCAAAGCGAATTCCGACGGACCAGTTAGATACTTCCAGACTATTAGTGCTGATGGTAGCCGAATAGCCGTGTGGAAGTTACGAGTCCTGAGGCAAGTGAAGTTGCTGATCTTTTAATAGATGCTCCTTGAGTGATCGATCCGCTGACTTAATAAGTGAAGTAGTGAAGAAGATACTGAGCCCGATCTCGTGGAGTTTACCAGAGAGTCCTGGATGACTGATGGGCACAGAGACCCCTTCCAGTACGGTGCCCAAGAGTGTCTCACGAGCACCCGTCGCCGGATTCGATGGGATAATTACGACTCTACTAGATCTCATGAGAACCTCCTTGTTCCGATTCTGGAGTATTCAACTAGGCTACCAGTATTTGAAGGCTCCAAGTATGGACAAAGCGTGAGGGTTGGTGCGCAAGTTTTCCGACGAGATCGGAAGGGCCAATGGATCGCCGACACGTCAGACGAGGATGGGTTCGTACCTTACTGGGAAGACATCACCACATCTGGGCCGTACACAGTGTGGTCACGCCGAAAACGGATCGATCTTGAGATATTGGGTGGTCTCGGATCCCTGCAATCGATACTGAAGCTCTCATCCGGACGCATCGGTGAAAAAGAAGATGATTCTCAACCATTTACTGAGTCAGAGTCCTCAGATACCGAGTCTACCGCATCTAAAGTGAGTACTGATGCCATCGGAGACGACTCTGATGAAGACATAAGTGAAACCGAAATATTTGATCTAAGGCGGTACGAAGAGCTCGAAAATATATCTTCTGCTGAGGAGCTTGATGATGGTTCCGGATCCGAAATTGATGAAGGGAACTTGACCTGGGAAAAAGATCATTCTTTTGCTCGCGGAATTGTCCGGAGGCACGATTTAACTGGAGACTCGCGCACACAGGAGAGCTTTCATCCCATCCTGCCGATGGCGGACAGAAACAACCGCTCTAGAGCGTCATCACAGGGCGATTCCTCCGCTGATGTTGATGCTGATGATGAGGACTCAGACTCAGAGAACGAATATGTTGAAACAGGAGACTCCGACTCAGAATCAAACCAAGGCTCATTGTCAAACTCAAGCTCAGAGAGTAAACATTATCTCAGGTGCGATGTGTGCGATAATCATATCGCCACTGCCGACAGTGATAATTCCGAGCTAGAGCTATGTTATCAGTGCAACCGCTGTGTTTTGGATGACTCGTACGATATCTGCTGGGCTTGCTACAATAAAGGAGCATGGTGCGCCAATCCAACCCATAAGCTTCGTATCTTAGCCTCCAGCCGAGGCAGAGGATTCAGCCCGAGAGAAGAAATTATCCGAGATGAAGCGGACCCTGTCCTTGATATTGTTATTGAAAAATTCAACGAAGGGAGTCATGCCGGGTTGATGTCCGTGTTTCGATACTCTCGGCGTAACAAAGACATGCTACACAATTCAAAGCCTATTATCCATCCTTCTCACCCTCTGGTTGTGTACCCGCTGGATGGTCAGAGGTATCTGTTTGGCAATCTTGAAAATAACACTTATGTCGTCCACGAAGTACCTTTCGGCACTTCGGAAACAAACCAGACGAGTGCCGACACCTGCATTCCTGTGAGCGTTCATATGTCTTTCTCATCATGTGGTCGATATGTCCATGTTCTACGCATTACAGCTCGCAGAGAATCTATTTGGTTTGGAGCGACCAGACTCCATGTGAGAAGTATTACGCTCAGACTCTCACCCACTCGTCCGGCCTCCGGAAAGCCCCGGACAGAACCTTTTGCTTCTGGAGCGGATTTAGGGGACTGGCCCAATCTAGTGCGGCAGTTTCCCTTTGCTATTACATGGACCAATACCCATGCATACCTCTCTCTAAGTGGCACATTCCTTCGGGTATTACGATTTGATCTACAATGTTCGTCCAAGACTAAAGAACAAACAGTGTATACATTGGCTGCTACCATAGCATTACCTCAGTCCGCCACGTCAAGGCCTGTCCATTACTTTCCTCCCTCTGGTGATGAAGCAGCAAAAGTGATTCTTGGAAGCAGCCAAGAGCATGAGAATCAGCCGCCTATGGTGGTATATCTTGCTTACCAAATGGGGAACGAATGGGAAAAGGTTGAGAATCAAAAGCTCTCTCCGACATCCGCATTAGACACAAAGGAGAGCCTGTTCGTGGAACCAATAGGTATTGAGGATGAATATCATGCGCATCCAAGAAAACTCGGCCCTAATGAGAAAATGGAGCGACATTTCGTTGGATCGAAAGATGTCGACAGAGCAAGGAAAGCGGCCGTTAGAAATGGCACTTATTGCCCTTCTTGTTTCGATCTTGGAATGGGAATGCTCACGCTTTATCGACCACATGGGTTCGATTTGCCAATTATCGATCTTAACCCCGACCCTGATAATGCTCAGACAGTAAGAGCTCCCCTGGCATGGAAAGTACCTCATGAGACGCTTCTCACTGCATTGGAGTCAGGTTGCCAGTTTTGTTGCTTTCTGATGTATCGGCTGTTGGGAAGCAGTTCGCGAGTGTACGGCCCATTCCTTGGCAGTACTGATCTGGCGTGTTGCTCTCAAGGAACTGTTAAACCAGACAACACCTTACGACAAACAATTTCAAGACTACGGAATATGCGGTGGTTAATTGATCCAGAAGAGCAGGTACTGAAGTTTCTCTGTCAACCCCTCGACCAGGATCCGACCTGCCGGACATTTACCAAAATGTCTGTCACGATGCCGGGGGTATGCACCAATCGGGAGGTACCTCTCCCCGGGTCAGATACTAAATTTGCCCCAATCATGGTTGGCATTGAAGGCCAAAACGAAGAGTTGGACGCTATTAGTACAATAACCACATTCATTCATACGGACGAGTCTGACAAAGGGGTGCCAGAATGCACCCTGGAACTCTTTTCCCTTCCAGGTAAGTAGAAATCAGGCTTTGAATAAACTGGTATAGTTTCTCACGCTGTGCGTATAGACGACGCAGCTCATGAATGGGTACCGACCAGACCAATCAACACCTCTCCCGGGAGTGACCAAAACCTGCATGTTATCAAAGGCTGGTTGGACGAGTGTGACCAAAACCATCCATTCTGCCAGCGGACCGGCAGCAAACCCGTGCCGATACCAACAAGGCTACTTGAAATTGTTGATGAAGAAACCGTATGCCTCGTTAACGCTGTTGGAGATAGTACACGGTACATTGCTTTGAGCTATTGCTGGGGCCCTACTTCGCAGAATAATTGCCCGACGACACAAGACAATCTGTCAAGTAGATCATATGGAAGGGAGGGGATACTACGTGATAGCCTCCCCGCCGCCATTAGAGATGCCGTATATATTGTCGAGAAGCTCGGCATCAAGTACATTTGGGTTGACGCCTTGTGTATTGTTCAAGACTCACAAGAGGATAAGAGTCGGGAGTCGGCAAGGATGGGCCAATATTACGGTGGTGCTTTCTTGACAGTTATAGCAAACACCTATCACTGCAATCAGGGGTTTATTGGCGAAATCGGTCGTTGCAAAAAACACCCTGATTCTCCAGTTCCTAGAGACCTCGTTCCATTCAACGGGATTTTCTGGTCGGATCATGATACAATGGGCCGATTTGGAACGATACTCCTTCGCGACGAGAACCCATACCTCCTGTCAAAGGAACCAATCTCTAAGAGAGGATGGACGTTTCAGGAACGTCTACTCTCAAACCGCGTCCTCTCTTTCGGCAGTCGTGTGATGTGGTCGTGCCTTGGCCAAACAGCCACTGATGGCGGGATCCAAGATTGGTCTTTCGACGAACATGACCCGGATGGCACGATTCGAGAATTTCAAAATGAATCAGCCAAGCTTGAAAAGCGAAGCAAACCCGAACCAGGCAGCTCCAAGGCAGAAAAGGATGGAAGAGCTGGGAAATACAGTCTCTGGCATAAAATAGTGGGCAATTACTCGAAACGGGCCATCACGTACTCTGAAGACAAGTTTCCAGCCATTGCAGCAGTGGCAGAACAGTTCTCAAGAATAAGCGGTGATGAGTATATCGCTGGGCTCTGGCGACGGAATCTTGAAACGGATCTGCTATGGACTACACCATCACCGGGGACTAAGCGCCCTGAGAAGTGGCGAGCACCGTCATGGTCATGGGCGTCGGTGGACGACCCGATTCTCTACACGAATCTTTCCGGGGATGACGCGAGTCTGATGGCTGAGATCAAAAAGATAAACGTGTCCCACAAACCTCCCATTGTGCCTTTTGGAGAGATCAGCTCGGCAACACTCGAGATCGAGGCCCCCTGCATTGATTCAAACGCTAGCGATGTAGCCAAAATGATTGAGCCCTGCTTTCCAACCATAGGCGTAGAAAACGAGCGAAATATGGTACTCAACTTTTTGAGTGGAACGGGGAAATACGGAGAGGAGCAGAAGGTAGACTTACCGAAAGAGGTCGCCTTACTTCTATTGTATGTCGAATACAGCTCTTCATCTCAAGATCCGATTGCTACGGCTGAAGAAGAATCACATGCGAGCGAGAAATACCTGAAAATATGGGGACTGGTATTGAAACCGGTCAACCAGACTAGAGACCAATATGAGAGAATTCTTGCCGTCTCAGGGCTAATGATTAGGGTCGTGGGAGCGGATACGCTCTTGTCAGTGAATAAGGTCGTGAGGATCGTGTAGCGGGGAAGGACGAAAATAACCAACACGCCCTATTGTTAGACTAGCAAGGATCTTATTGAGTAATAATTATATTGAGACGTTAACGTCAAATTGCACAGCGAGAAAACCTGCGGCTTATTCTTGCAAGTCTAGGCTGTGGAAATCAGAAGGTAATTAGAGAGACACCACGGCAAACTCACTAACCTGAAGCTAATATGTAAATACCCGCTTTACAAGCCTGGAGTTTCGTGTCAAAAACTCGTAATATCACCTTAGTTTTGGGGCTCTCTATGGGTAAACTCGTAACCGATCTCAAGGATGGAAGAGAGACAAATCCATCAAGGATACTTGGTTGCTCACGCTTATGTCAGACCTCAATTCAGGTCTGTGGGGCAATAGCTGAGACTCCAGATATAACTAAACCAGGCCTAGCGTAAGGCAGCACAAGGAGGCGCAGTCGAAATGCAAGGCCAGTTGGTCTTCATCCATTCTGCTTTTTAGGAGCATCAACTGTCTCAGCACTCGCCATACTGCTAGTTGACTCGACGAACAAATGACTCGAGCAATAGGGTAAAGAGCTCTCTCGTTTTGCCTCATGAGGTGTGACCTCGTCAATATCCCGTCTCCAATTCGTCCAACCAATGTCAAAGATGGCCCACATCCTATCTCTTCCTGTCGAAACCCTGACCGACATTCTGGTCATTCTTATGCCATTTAGATCATCGAAATGGCATGGATTGGATGAAATGGAACGAAGCTTGCATCTTCGCCTCGTATGTCGTAAGTCAACCCCGTACAGTTTTCTTGTCCCAGCGCCTTTGATGATCGACGATGCCTCTTTTCACATCCACCTATTGAAGCTGCGAACTGATGGAATTCTATTCTCTTTGTTCAGGGGACTTTGAAAGCATTGTTTCTCGGATGGTACTCCCAAGAAAGGGTCGCACTTTTGTCCTCCCTGAAGTGTGTCCGAGTAACAGCTATACTATGGCCTGGCTTGTCCGTATGAAATGCCTCCTAGACGACACGCAGAAAGGTTCGATTACTACATATTTTCGACAATGGGCATCATTCATGGCGGCGCAGAGCACATGGACCAGAGATGGCCGGCCTATCAGTGAGATTGAATGGTTGAGAATTGTCTGTAGGTCTGCTGTCGAATCACAGTCTCGACATTCGGATTTAGCAGCACTTCTTCAGCGCAATGAGGGTGGGGTCTCGTCTGATCTCGATGAAATAGATTTAAGCCTCCCTCTGCGTCTTCTTGAAAGACAGGAGCATGAACGAAATGGTGACAGGGTTGAGATAATGAGAGACGCCGCAGGCGCTCTTCACATTGCTGCACATCAAGGCAATCATGCAGCTGTCAACGCACTGCTCATTGCCGGGGCCGACCCTACATATAAGCATATGATTTTTGGCTACCCAGAAGACAACGCAGTTTATGGTGGACACCTCGAAATTGTGTCCTTATTACAGAAACATGGAAGCACGCATGAATCTCGCGCACGACCTGCCCGCCTCCTCTCTATTGCTGTCAAGAGAGACTTCACCCAAATTTTCAAATTGCTGCTGGACTCAAGCCCCTTCCTTTTTGGAAAGGCTGACCTATATGATTGGTTAGAAAGAGCATGCGAGCGCGGCAATATCGATATCATTCACGAGCTTTTCTCATGGGTTGATAAGTCGTCTCCTCGGGAAGAGGGAAACCGAGGTTTCATAAGCAGACTTCTCTGCCGTCCCAAGCCAGTCGAAAGTAAAGACTCCCCAAGTTACGGAATACGCCAAGAAGACCAGCAGCGCCCTCAGAATATTGTTGGAAAAGCAATACAACATAATCACCCCGAAATCGTTCAGTTCCTTATCCATCGACATGAATTTCGGCCAACGAAAGCAAAAGATATACAGGAGCCCTTATTTATGGCCTGTCGGCAAGATCGAGGAGATATCCTCACAATTCTACTTGACCACTACTATGTGAACCGGAGTGTTTTAGCCTTGATATTGCGTGATGCGGCATACTTCAACAGGGTCTCGGTCATCAAGGCGCTCTTGCGTCAGGCAGATCTCAGGGCAGTTGTGGGGTCTTCCTATATGCAGATGACTTTGGTGTTTGCTATCAAATATGGCTCCAGGGATGCTAACTCATTGGAGATTGTCCGGATACTACTTCTAGAGAAGGGCGTTGATCCAAATGCATGCTATGAGTGTACACCGCTCGAGGCCGCCGTTGAAAGAGATGATACGGCCATGGTGAAATTGCTTCTCAGCCACCCAAAAGTGAACCCAAATACTAGAGGTCATGAGCATAGTCCCCTTTGCAATTCTGTGCGGGGGAAAAGATTAGAAATAGCACGGCTACTTCTCGAACGACTAGATACAGATGTGAATCAGGGTTGCTCAGATGTCGAGGACTATGGCGACGCACTTCGTTCTGTAATTCAACAAGGCGACGTACTGATCACAAAACTGCTCCTGCATCGGAAGGACATTGACGTGAACAAAGCCGGCAAGCACCGGCCGCCTTTGGCTATTGCGGCTTCTTGTGGACACAGTGAAATCGTCTCAGAGCTTCTCAGGCACCCTGGCATTGATCCGAACCATACATCCATCTCACGAGAGCCGCTCATGGTTCATGAGATGGCAAAAGGTAGCTGGAATTTCGAAATGATATCATCCGAAACCCGGTATGGTTCAATCTCAGACTCACCATTGCTATTGGCAGCACAGAACGGCCATCTGGACAGCATCAAATTGCTGTTGGAAGATTCCCGTGTGTCTACAGTGTCTTTAGACGAAACTGGGAGAACACCCCTATGGTGGGCAGCCCACAAAAGTTCGGCAGATATGGTCAACCTTCTATTGGAGAAGGACGGCGGAGAACAGATCAACAAACAAGACTTCCAGGGTTGGACGCCATTGCATGTTGCGGTGACCCAGAAATGCTTTTCCGCATTCCTTGTTTTACTATCTCATCCGGATATCGAACCAAATATAGTAACTAAAGATGGGTGGGCACCATTACATATGGCCATAGCTGGCGGGATGGGCTTAATGGTGAAAACGTTTTTTGAAAATCCGAAAGTCAACTGCGAGCAGAGGGTGAGCAAGGCTGGCATGACACCACTTGGGTTGGCGAAGGAGATAGGAAATGAAGATGTAATTGCTTTGGTATCGGCATCGCCTCGCACCCAACCCCCTGAATCTAGCTTGCTAGTTAAAACAAAACTAAGATGAGACGGTTGCAAACTACCGTCGCAGTGAAGGGGATCGAGGAAAGACTTGCTGAGATTTCAATGATGATAAAGGAAGGTGTATAATAAAATAATATATACCTAATGTGTGTAAATTGCAGTGACTAGACTTGGAGCAGATGTCTATATGTTTCTACGAACGAGGAGACTGTTCCAATGTATCCATCTAATTCTTCCTTTGTTGTTCCAAGAACAATACTCAACATCCCCCGCTCGGTAATCCAATAGCCCCTACTGATGCACCAATACCAAAAGAGCTTCTTCAGGTGGTTGACGTTATGGTTTTCGATATCCGACTCTTTGCTAGGGCGGGCACCATTATCGAGAAAATGAATAGTTAAGACGGCGCCCTTTCCAACGACCACCATTTTTGTGCCTCGAGAGATTTCTTGAAGCTGCCCACGGAAGTACTCTCCCAGGGAATTGAGCTTCAGACAAACATCTTTCGTGTAAACTTGAGTCAATCCTACATACCCGCAGGACATAGCCAGTGTGTTGTTGTTAAAAGTCCCTGAATGCGGCAAGCTATCGGGCGATCTCGGGTCATAGGCGGCAAGAAGATGCTCTTTACCACCAAACGCGCCGAAAGCGAGACCACCTCCAATGTATTTACCCAGGGCTGTCAAGTCAGGGTCGAGGGAAAACTCGCTTTGAAGACCAGCAGGATGGAGCCGCGAGGTCATAACCTCGTCGAGAATAAAGACAACGCCGCACTTCTTCGCCGCCTCTTGAATGGCGTGCAAGAATTCACGTGTGGCGGGGATGCAGCCTCCCGCTCCCTGCATTGCCTCTACAATAACAGCGGCGGCATCGGGAGTATTTTGAATCAGATCTTTTACCCCTTGCACGTCGTTGTATTCTCCCAGTACCCAGTCAGGTTTGTCAATGGTATTCTTCGCTACGCCATGAGCAAAGCTGAGCACTCCGCCATGATAGCCACCACGAAAAGCGATAACCTTCCTTTTCCCAGTCATATGGCGGGCGATACTGAGGGCATAGATGTTTGCTTCGGTGCCAGAGTTGCAGAACCGGACTCGTTCTATGCTGGGAAAGCGCTCACAGAGGAGCTTTGCGAGCGCAACTTCGTGTGTCGAAGTCGCTCCAAAGCTCACTCCTACATCCTCGTAAGTTGAGAGCAACGTCTTTTTGATTATCGGGTGCGAATGTCCGTATAGACCAGCTGTTAGCTCGCCGACAAGATCGAGATACCTAAGGGAAGACCAAGGTCAGCAAGAGTCTGCATAGAAATGATGGACGTGCCTCATACTCGTTTTGATCATGATCCCATAATCTATTTCCTTCCCCCTTCGCCATAAAAATTGGAAATGGCTCATTGAAGAGGACGGATCGAGTATTTCCACCAGGCAAGAAGTCGACGGCTTCTTCGAAGTGCTTCTTGCTCGCCGGAAGGCGGTCAATGTATGAATTCCTTGCTGATATGAGGGCATCTTCCAATGATTCGAGAACTTCACTTGGTGGTGTTAAATCAACGGTAGGCGGTTTGGAGAGGTCCCCCAGCGCCCTGGGCATAAACGTAGCTTCAGCCATAGCGGTCTATGTGTGTTGGAGTGATGAATGCAGCGTGATCCTAGACACATCAGTACGCCAGCTTTTCTGATTAAAGTGCGATCCAATGCAATGTAGCCCGAGTTCCGCTATTTAACAGGTGTAAGCCGATGGAGCGGACGGCTCCAAATTAACGGCAAATCCGTTGCGTTCCGTCGTGCTCCGTTTCTTATCGCGATGCCCCACCCTTATCGTACCCCCGCGGATAAGATAAGGATAGCGGGTTCGACGGAATTGCCGCTCCTCGGTCCTCTTCAATCTTATTACCTTGCAACATTACGCACCTCATCCCGTCCGGGAGCCGCACCCCTTTCCGCGTCAAGATTCTAGCTGGTCCAAATCCATGGCGGATACCAGTCTCCCGGACAGAAGTACGCCTACGCCCAAGCGGCAACGCAGGGCAGCTAGAACCGCATTAGCATGCACATTCTGCAGGTACCTAGTTCCCTAGATTTTGGACCAAAGCATGGGCTGCTCAGATTGCCAATTCGATTAATGTCGATGAAGGAAGAGAAAGATTCGATGCTCCGGACAATGGCCGACATGTTCAGCTTGTGTAGCACGCAAGAAAACTTGCCTCTACCCCGGACTTCCTCCGGCAAGTGAATCGCCAAGAGTCAGTTTGCCCAGTATTGAGAGCCTCGAGCCAGAAATTCAAAGCGGAGAGTATGAATTATATCTTTTGTCTCAGTTAGCACAATCATCTAAACTGAACTCAGATTACCGTCAAAATGTATTCGCCAAAAGGTCATGTCCTGCTTTCGAGAAATGTTTACGCCAACATTTTTCAACTTCATTCCACCTCAACAACTGGTCGAAGACGAATATGGGAACAATCTACCTTTATCTCTCTTATTATGCATTATAGCGCTTGTATCAAGGTCAGAAGTTACCAAGCTCGCCGGAACCAGCATTGTCTAAGCCAATTATTCTAGATCTGTCCCTGAAATCAGTTCCGGCGAGACATCTTTTCATGCTGGCGATCACTTTGCTGAATTAGCAAGGCGAGAGCTTGCCTCAACCTACGAGGAACCTTCTTTGAATACCATTCAGTGCTGTCTCATACTTTGTGTCTATGAGATCGGTGAAGGGTCCGAAATCCGAGGATGGCTACGGCTAGGCCATGCTGTGAAATTAGCTCAGCTTCTCCAACTTCACAAACAGGACACAAACCTTGGGCTCATGGATTGGGGACGCTCTGCCACTCCCTCATCACCGACAATCTCAGAATCAAAACGACGGACTTTCTGGTGCTGCTTTTGTCTCGAACGTCTGCTGGCCAATGGGCGTGACCGAATTGTCACGTTTTCTCCCGATGATATCACCACGCAATTCCCGCAGTCCGACGAGAACTTCATCTATGGGCACCAGGTACAGACATGCACCTTAAGTTGCCCTGACTGGTCAACCGAGACGCACAGTCACGTCGAAAAGGAGACTATCATGGGATATACAATCAGAATCGTCCATATTCTTTCCCAAATTATCAGCTGGAATGGCAGGGGAGGTCGGCATGTCGACACGAGCTTCCCGTGGCTGACTGGTACCGCCTTTTATAGACTTGATGAGGATTTGAATCGCTGGAGATCCGTAATACCGGTCTTTTTACAGTACTCTCCACAGAACGCGTCTGCAATGATTGCCCTGGGGAAGGGCAAGCCATGGTCAATGATGTGGATGGTGTACTTTCAGGCGAGGGCATACCTGCATAGAGAGTATTTGCCTTTTACGCCCCAAGAAGAGTATGATCCATTAAATGGTAAGGCCAATGCTCTGAGCACTTATTAGGACACCGGTGCCTGACATCAAGAAACTTAGGCCCGAGCGATGGACCTGCACTCTCGGCTATTGCGCCGAAGGACTTTTGGCACAACTCTGTCGCCGCGATGATCGAGAGCGCCAACGCAATCTCAAACCTATACCAGAGCATGAAAAAGAGAGGGCTATCGGCTTCTGCATACCCCATCCCAGGGCTCGGCCTGCTCACTGCCGCAAGTGTTCATGCCGTGTATTCTATATTTTCCTGGGATAGCATGAGCAACATCATAACTCCCGAAGAAAGCCGGTCTTATTTGAAACAGGATATGGATGCATTCAATGATATCGGCCAGCGATGGTGCCTCGCTATCCACTGGGTAAGTCAGGAGATATCTGTTCCAACATTGTACCTATCAACCCCTGACAAATACATACAGATGAGACAAATCTCGCTATTCTACAAGCTGAACCTCCTTACTAAACAGTCGTGGGCAAACAATAATGGCAACGACATATCTTCTATGAACGTGAAGGAGATAAAGGACGGTATCATGAATTTCGTTCGCCAAATCAGTCTCAAGGATCGCCAGACACGTGATGTTAACCTCAAGCCAACATTTGATTTTGACGGCTGGGTGAGCGCTATGCAAAGCTCGGTTAACCAAGAACAGGGATTGGAGTTAGACGGCAAGCTGGAGATAGCCGAGAATGACTCGCTTTCAACGGTATACGTGGAGGATCTGCAGGTTGGTCTCTTGAACAATGTCTCGGGTATGTTTTATCTTGACGGATTGGCTGAAATGGGTTTGAGTGGAGATGTCGAATCCCTGGTCGAGGAATGGGGTCAACCTGGATTAGAGTGAAGTCATAGTAGTGATATTTTACATGACATGGTCTGCATTATGGACGTGCTCGCATATTCAGTATCTAAGATGGGTTGGGTTATCCTCGGTCTAAAATAAGCGGTACTTTTCCGCAGTTCACGAAAGCAGGACTCCCCTTTTACCCTTGGGTCAACCTGACCACCAGCCACTTCTTTATCCTCGGCCGGACTAGTATCATGGCATTCGGCTCCTTTGTCTCTTCTTATTACTTAGTAGGGCTAGGTGATACTCGTATCTCACCTTGGCTGCAAGAAACACCGTTATCTGAACAATTCTGCTAAGGTATGATGCGTACTAGGCCCCGGGAACCCAGGACTATCCAATAGATGAAGTGTACCGATATCTGAGATCAAGTTGGGCGGCGACTCCAGAATTGTGAATCTAAACCATGCCACTAGCATGTCGGTAGAGGGTTCGGATACGCTCCCCTCCCCTCACCTTGGTGTTGTTAGTTGAGATAAGTCGCTGCCAGAAGTAGAGACCGAGATAGCTTGTGGGGAAATATCTAAATAGTTCATCTGCCGAAAGGTGGAGAGGAAGCTTCAGAGGAGACGGAAACACTCGCGTCGAGCCAACGGAGTTGCCGCCCCCGGTAACTATCAGTGTCGGAGATACCATTCCCACAGCCTAGCCCCAAGATAAGAAAACTACTAAACCCCATCCAACATCAATGGGGCGATTCGGATTCAATACAAGAACCTCTGGGTCATCTGTCAATGCAGAATTCAACGCCCTGGAACGACACATCTACTCTCAATCCACCAACTCAACTCCAACCACAGCCAGTTAACCTGACATGGAAACTCATCAGGAGACCAAGGAAGACTCTAAGTCGCTCAAGATGGAGACTCGCTCAAAGGTGTCCGACGTCGAAGATGGCACCGTTGCAGAATTGGACGAGGGTGAACAGTTCTTGAGAGACAACGGCATCAGTAGTGCACAACTCCATGCACTCATCAATGACAAGCATGCTGTCAAGAAGCTTGTGCGGAAGGTGGACATGCGAATTCTTCCGCTTCTAGCTGGAACCTACATGATGCAGTACATCGACAAACAGGCTCTTTCGTATGCGGCCGTTTTCGACCTCTTCACCGATACCAACATTACGCAGAGCCAGTATAGTTGGTTTGCAAGTATGTTCTATCTCGCATACTTGATCGCCGAGTACCCGTGGAGTTCGCTCGCCCAACGCACTCTGATGGCCAAGGTCGTCTCTGGCTGCGTGATTTCATGGGGAGCTGTGCTCATGCTCACGGCTGCATGCAACAATTTCGGCGGCTTGGCTGCCTGCCGCTTCTTTCTCGGTTTCTTCGAGGCACCAATCACCCCTTGCTTCATCATGATCGTCAGTATGTGGGTAAGTTACATGGCCGAACCACCAACCAAAGCTAAATGTAGTCTGACATTGCATCCCAGTATACTAGAAACGAGCAGCCCTTCCGAGCCGGCATTTTCTATAGTTGCAATGGTGTTGGCTCAATGCTCGGAGGACTTCTCTCCTACGGCATTGGACAGATCCACTCATTCCCTGTCTGGAAAGCGATTTTCCTCCTTTGCGGCGGCGTCACCATTGTCTGGGGTATTGTGATGTTCCTCTTCCTGCCTGACAACATCCTCAGTGCGAAGAACTTTACAGTTGCGGAGAAAGCCACCCTTATCGGACGTGCCAAACTCGGCAGAACCGGAATTCTCAATCGCCACATTAAGATATATCAAATTAAGGAAGCCCTGTGTGACCCTCAGATTTGGCTGCTCACCCTATTCATGCTTCTCAACGAGATCATAAACGGTGGTATCTCTAACTTTGGCAAGCTCATTATCAAGGGTCTGGTGAAGGATCCTCTGTTGACTACTGTTCTTGGTATTCCCCAAGGCGCCTTCCAGGTCTTCTGGATCCTCACAGGCACTTTCCTTGCCTCGAAGTTCCGCAATTGTCGAACATACGTGATGATGGCCTATCTGATACCCACTATAATCGGCGTCTCACTGATGTGGAAGCTCGACCGACAGAACTACAAGATTGGAGTTCTTATTGGATACTACATCTGTGGAGGTTTTGTGGCCTCGCTCGTCGTCGCCCTCCAGATGCCGGCAGCAAACCTTGGAGGCTACACCAAGCGTGTTACCGGTACGGCTATAGTCTTTGCGGCATACTGCATCGGTAACATTATCGGTCCTCACGCTTTCCTTGAAAAGGAGTCTCCAACATATCCAACTGGCTGCGCTGTGGTTCTTTCGTGCTCGGTGGGGCAGGTGGGCATTGCTTTCTTGCTCCGTATGTTGCTTGTTTATAGAAACAAGAAGCGAGATCAGACTCACCCGGCTCTGGCTGAAGAGGATACCAATGCCGCGGATGAAGTGTCTGCAGACTTGACAGACTTGGAGGTAAACCACTCAGAGCCATACATTCTTCTCTTTGTTCCGAAGCTAATCCGTGCTGTGTCTAGAACCCACGCTTCCGATATGTTCTATAAACATCGTGGCCACGCTGAAGGATCAACGAGGGGCCGTGATAATAGTAGCTTGTATTTAGAGATAAACCTGAGAACTGTTTCGTTACCTAGCTACAGCTTATGTAGAGGCCTTACTCAACATTTTACTGAGTGCATTTATGATCATATCGGCATTTAACACAACATTCATTCATCTACGTAATACTGTGAACTTCGAAAAGTCAATTATTACCAAGCCAATGATTATTCTCAGTAATCAACCCAGTCAGGAATGAGGTTTATCCGCGTGAAGTATAGTCGTTGTTTATCACGGTTAATTTGAATCCGAATCTCCTGTTATGCTCGCAGGGCTTGGGTATTGGTTCCCTTGGGCGTCGAACTATCATTTGTGATACTGCTAGTCAGAACTGTCATATGTGATACTAGTCACGTGTAGCCTGAACATGGTATCTCCCTAGTTTATGTTGAGATCAATCCAAGTCCGTGGCTAGTTGGGATAACGGAAGTGCCCCGTCGATCCGCGGTCTGAGTTCCCGTCTCTTCCGTTCCATCCCGCCCGTCAAGGCGGAACTGTAAGGCAGCTATCCTGAATTGACCCTACTAACATGCTTTTTAGCAACCAAGTAAAAGAAGACTCATGCTGCTTCCTCATTTAAAACATTCGCAACGCACGCCAGCTTAGATCGCAAACTTTCTTCCCTACATGATCTCCCTCTTTCAATATCAAGAGTGGGCATGAAACGCAAACAAAACTGCCGTTAGCTTGAATTCACAGAGGAAAATTCAATTCCTAGATCGTTCACCTCTACATATCTCAGCTTATCAAAGGCCAATCCTAGCCAAGAGTTCAGACCCTAAATTCACGGAGCAAGATCATCGAATTCGACAAATCTGGCAATGGCACCTTTGTTGGACACGATTGTCGGAACGTGGGAGCTACTGTCCTATGACATGGTAGTGTCTTCAGAATCTGGAGAGACGGAGGTCCGCAAACTGGGAGGGAAAACACCTCTTGGGCGAATCATGTTTACGCGAGATCAGTTCATGTCAGCTCATGTGACTGATCCCAGAGCTACTAGCCCAACTGAAGACGGGGCCTGGTTCCAAGCACGCGACGAGGAGGTCCTCCGTGCTGCGCGGCCTCATGTCTCATATTGCGGCCAATTCAGGCTTTTCCATGAGGGCGAGAGTGATTATCTTGCTACTACGGTTCATGTTGCTTTAGACCCAAATTGGGTTGGATCCGAACAAGTCAGGAGGGTTGAGATCAATCACGACGACGGACGTGGGCTCCTGACTCTGCACCCCACGCAGGAGTTTCTCTTATCGGTAAGATGACGGACACCTGTCCGGATGGTAAGACTAGATACGCTAACTAGAGGGCTCTTATGTAGGATGGTAAGAAGTCTATAGCAAGCCTGACTTGGGTGAAGCTGTTTTAGGACGGAGATAACTTTGATTATACCAGAAACTTGAATTAAGACGGATGGGGGGTGATCACAGTCGGAGCTATACTCTTTGTCTACAAAGGAAACATTCAACTCATCGGCCGGCCATATGTCTCGAATTCCATGGGCCTCAAATAGTGGCGCTTGGAACTTGATACCTGTCTAGATTCGCGAATTTGGTGAGAACTTCTTATGTTTAGATCTAGTCTTCTCCAAAATAACTTAGTTGAACTCAGAGAGCCGATGCTGGTATGGTTGGCGTTACAAATGGCTTCTATCCGATAATCCGTTCATCTTCTCTTCCTTGGCAGAGCGAAAAAGACTGGTATCTTCTGAATTGGATTCGTTCAAGCGATGAAAATTAGTTCCCTAATTTATCGGCTTCGACCGAGTTTGCCTGTAATTTGGGCCGAGTCGGGTTAATTCCGTGCCGACTCATCGACCCAACATCGATGTTAGAGCCGGACTACTTCGGCACAAGTCAGAATACGCAATATGTGCTGTAGCATAAATAAACCAATTAGCAATTATGTTATTCACCACATCTTCGATTTGCCATTTGTTGCTTCTACACTGGAGGAATAAAACTGCCGACATACATTTGCGTACATACATCGCATCTGCTTCCCAAAATCATCAGCACACCATGGCCATCACTCAATCCATCCTGTCTGTAATTCAATCAATTTTCTGCACTGGTCCCGCCCACCTTCTGTGCTTTTCAGCTCTTCTCGGAACAGAGCTCTACCAATCCTTCGTCATCACCAAGATATGCTTCCTCGTCCTGCCAAGGAAACCCTTCACCGCACTACAAGCGAGGGTCTTTCCGGTGTATTTTCGCATTCAATCCTCCCTCCTCGTCCTCCTGGCTCTCACTACTCCCTCCCGTGGGCTCCTGTCTCTCATTGAACGCAAGTCTAACTGGATCCCACTACTGGTTGGCGCTTGCACGGCGGCATTAAATCTCTTCTTTTATGGCCCTCGCACCTCCAGAGCGATGTTTAGTATTGATCAGCTGGGTACAGGTATGTCGCTTTATCAGTCGGATCCATGCATGTGAGAAGTTGAGGTCTAACATGGGCGTAATCGTTAGCGACGGCTGGTGACCGAACTGAGTCAAGCGAGAGAGAGCCGCTTAACCAAGACAAAGCTGTTTTGCGGAAGACATTCAGCAAAAATCACGCGGCCAGCATCCACTTCAATCTGATCACAATAATAGCTACCCTTTGGTATGGCTGGGGGCTTTCCACTGAGCTCGTTACGTGATATTGCCAATTCATAGCAGGCCCTCTGCAGATCTCGGTTATCCTCATAATGAGTCGTTAGATGTGACATTATGAATTATCATTCTTTGCCAGACTATATTAGTGTCATGATGCTACCTTATAGAGAGCGTTTCATTACCAATCATTACTGTTCAAGATTGTGAACTAGAGATGTTGTGTTCGATAATAGAAGGCATTCCTTACACAAAGCCAACTATGTACCTTTTATTTTGTGTAAACAAAGCACCACTCCAACTAAGTAATTCAACGATATCGAAGAAAGAATGATTAACATCTTCCTAATACTCTACCGCTCCATCCTTGCCTCGTCTGTTTTCCACGCTGGCTGATCTTTCTCTGGTATCTAGGGTAGGTATTTTTTTGAAGAGCTATTTGAGTACTGACTCAAACCATGGACGGCTTTGCCTGCTGGTGGGTCATCTCTAACTTCTCTTGGGTAGGTCATTAAATATCGTATCTTATGAGCACAGTTATGAATAAACGATGAGAATACTTTTTTCGTCTTGCGAGTTCCCTACGAATAAATGAAGCGAGCCTCTCCTATGCATGTTCCAAGATCCGTTTAGACAGCCATGCACGAATTTATAGAATTGCATGACCTGAACAAGAGACTGACCCTATCAATTCCCGTGTTATGGCCTATGAGAGAATGTCTTGGCAGGATTCGATTGGATACGGACCTCCCCAAGTTGGTCAAGTCAGCACAATCCCTGTGCTAAGCTAGGCCTTGCAATTTAAATTTGGATTGAAGGTGAAAAATCTCCCACTTTCCGTCTCAGCCAAACTTCATTTTAAGCTTCATCATCACTCACTACTACCGTGTGGTATCATGGCCTTCACCCCGCTCGTCACTCGGGTGGTGACTGCTTTGGTGCTGTTAGCCGTGCTGTCGGTCAAAGTCCAAGCAGGCGGCCTCATTGCCCCCGACACGCTCATTGCCAACCAGGCCGCGAATGTCACTCTCTCCGAAACACTGGACAAAGATTCGGAACTGCGGAAAACATACAATGGCTACCGCGTCTACCTCGCGCTGACGCCGCCGGGCTGGGGCACAGGACCCGAGTGCTGGCTCGCCGACAACCTGGATCTGCGCCCCCAACAAGTCAGCGTCATTGTCCCCAGCGATGTGGTGCCGAACGGTACAAAGGTTCAATTCGCCGCCAGTCTCATTAAGAAGGGGCAGGAGAACGCGCATGGGTTCTTCTACAGCAACAAAGTCATTTTCCAGCAAGGCAACGGCACTTGGAGCCAACGGGAGTTGAATGGGCGGAACATGGCCAACGAGAACATAGTCAACTGCCAGGCTTTGGGATGTGTGCGGCGGTGTAACGATCAGTACTACACAGGCGAGGAATCCAGCGAGAAGGCAGCCGACGATTGTTCCAACCAATGCGTCAAGGACTGGCGTGCTGCTAACTCGGGCGCACCATCTCTTAGAATATCCGCTGCTGCTGCGTTGGTCGGAACCACAGCCTTTCTGTGGCTTTAGTAGTTTAATAATGTATAATGCATCCTGTTGATATTCTGCAAAGGATGATCGGCATTTTCAGTGGAAGGCTATTCTGGCTTTGTGCTAAATGCTAACGGATTGACCTCAACAGGCATTGAACGATAATTGATTGGATGCTCCCTCTAGTTGGTTACCAATCACTCAACGAGGCGGATCAGTTGATTTTCAGATTCCTCTTTTGGTCTCTAACTTGGCAGCTTCTTGGGCGACGGACAAAATAGCTATGAATACCCAAGAACATTTGGAGTCCATCTGACTCTGGGGTTGGCTCGTTGGTGTTTGAGAATGGCATTGTCACAAACCCTTCCATAAACGCCGTTTGTAACAGGTACACCGCATCATCCTTATCCTTGGTGCTGTCGCTAGATTAACCGGACAAGAGACTAATCACTTGCTAATTGCTCCCAGGTATGGGAGACTTCTTTGAAGAACATAGCAAATAGTTATCTAAACTTGTAATGTTAGAATTGAGTTCAACATATCGAGCTGAGCATGAAAAGCTTGACATTGTATCAGTCGGCGCGCTTTGAAAGGATGTACTTGAGAAAGAACGTGACATTTGGGAAGAGAAGATTCTATTGGCACGGTCGTTTGCATGCATAGCACTGTTCGTAGCTTCAAACTTTTCAGGACAATTCATATTGGGCTAGTAGGCATTGATAATTGCCATTGACCATCATGTCTGTCATCCAATATTGCTGAACTAATTTTTCATAGTCGCGGTTATAGCTGTTGCTTTCTCCGCCTACTACTCTGATCGATCTATATAGCGACACAAGATGAGTGCTTGTGTATGAAGGCTTAGCAGACAATGCTCTGGACAGTTCTTCCTACACGACCTATCAACCCCTAGACTAAAAGCCGCGGTTACAACATGACGCTGTGGCTTTTCGGCCCGGGCGCACAGATCACTGAGGTGGGATCTTTCATTTCTCTGTCATTTGAAGGAATATGTTGGGAAGCTTGAGCTCATCACTTCACCTGTCGGTGATGGCCTCATCCTCCCTGGGATCGCACAGCAGAGTGTTCTCATTCCCGCGAGTAAGGCTTGTGAGGGCGCAGCTACAGCGGACAGTCTGGAGCCGGTAGAGGTACTTGAGTGACCATCCACTATGTCGGATCTTGCCGCTGAGCACGACGAGGGTAGGTTGGTGGTAGGGCTGCCACTCGCTCGGCGTATTTCGTGATTATAGTGGCCGAGATCGATTCATTGGTTGGAGGAGCTAATTTGCTTTGGAGCTAAGGCTGTTTCGATTGCACGTTGAGCTTGACACTTGATAACTACCTAGTGCTACTTTATTTTGTTTAGAAAAATCACAAAGGATTCATCTTTTTCAGCGCTCTTCAGTTCAAGAGAATGCGGGTGCCAGACTAATCGAAGTGTTGGGCTTATTGTACATACCTACAATCAAATAGGACCTCTTGTCTCTGCCTGGATCGGCGAAGTACTGCTCTCCTATCAGCCGTTGAACCCCTTTGTAGAATTTGTAGAATAACCATCCCCCATTCAAAGCATCGATATTGTGCCATTAATTGTTGGACCCTAGGGCCCACGAATACGTTTAATCAAGATGGACATAGTCTGAATGGCCACAGGAATAAAAAATGTTCGAGGTGAGTGCCTGGGACAACCAGTGTGCTATATTTCCTTGGCTCGATTCCGAATTACCTTGGAATCCCATCAACCGATTGTCTTGACACAATTCCCAAGCCACAAGTTATGATGTGCTCGGAAGTGTGCCAGATGCTACCCAGCCTTCAGCAGACGTTTCAGGTGGCTTTCCCGATGTCTTCACTGGACCAACCAACGCCCTCGGGTCTGCTTCTCCGTGGCCGAGTGATTCCCCCACAATCGTCGCACGACCGGCCTCCCCTGACATCGGAGCCGCTACGCTTTGTAAGGACCTGTCACCGGGGCACATGCCCAGGCAGTTCCGCTTCTGATCGCTCCAGTGTGTGACTCGCAGGAAAATACGTTGCAGCGTTGGTGTGACTCGCCACCATCCCAAGCCTGCTTCGTTCTGGGCCAACTACCCTGCCAAGCTGTTCAAACCTTAAACCGAAGCCAAAGCTACAGCCCCTCCCTCTAGGGACATTATGAAAGCGACTGCTCATCGGAGTTCAGGCATCCCTTCTCCTAGTCTTGGACCAAGTCGCTCTCAATCGCTAGCCCTGATAGCAGCGCGAGTTATACCGTATCTGGTTCATTATGAAGCACAGGGGTTTGCCCCATTCTCCAGCACGAAACGTGGAACTAAAGATCAATTTTGATAGATTTGCAGCGAGGTAAGTTTACACGATCCTGTCTCCTTTTATCCTCAACAGACAAGCGTGGACCAGCCTTTGAGTGCTTCCACTTCCAACCCAATCCCTATACCAGCTCCGTTACCGATTCCGTGGATCTACGTCAAGGTCCTGTGCTTTTACCCCAACCGATGCATTAGCGGGGAAGTCATACCTACCGGCGCTATAGGGCAGGAGGAGTCTCGACGTAGCATTGATGGATGCGACAGTCATAGGAACTAAACAGTCGCAGACAAGCTAGAATGGCTGGCAAGCTTTCCGCCGACGCATTTCAAGCATCGAGAAGCTAGACTAGCTGCTTCTCTCTGAATGCTTTTGGATAATCAGAACCGAAGCGATGCTTCATTTCAGATTTTTGTTGGTTCGTAGTGGATATCTACGGTCGACAGCTCAAATCATCACAACAACATGTTAAGTCATCGAGAGAACGCTAGCTTTTAGCTGGATATCATATCATTTTGCTTACTACATATAGCTGGTACCTCTCAGAGCCTTTACGTCGATGTTTTGCCGTCAACTACCTTGGCAAAGCTCAAGTGATTCTATTATCTGGTATGAGCGCTAAGCTTGAATGTTGTTTCAACCTAGTTGATATGACCTAGTAGCTAAAGGTTCAATTAGCCTGAAGGAAAAAACCCTAACCTTGCCAGAATAAAAAATACCCTATTAGGAAGCATTTTGCGCTGCTAATAACTTGTTTCCTTAACTCAAATTTCCGTCACCTGGATGTTCTGCTTGCTCGGCTTCATATCTCTTTTGAACTAATTCCTTGGGTCTCGGGGCAGCTCGGCATATTCTTACGGCCATAGAGGATCCACAAGGCATACGAGTTGCCTTGGCAATACAAGACATAGATATTGGAGCGAAATTGGTATGCTGGTTGAGCCAACGTGTGCCAAGAACATGCATTTCTTGGTGATGATTAGAAAGACGGGTCAAAGGCAGTGGCTTGCTCAAGGGCAGGGGGGTGGACCATTTCCTCCAAGCTGGAGAAACTTGACCGTGCTGGCGGCGACTCACGAAAAAGGACGCTGTCGCAATCAACCCTATTCCCAGCTGAGACATTTCACCAAAGCACATGCCAGTGGCGGCATTTTCAGAATGGGAAGGTCTCTCGGGTTTCGGGATATACGGTGCGCGAGCAAGGCGAACTAGTATTCTTTTGGACTATTTTCCTTTCCACCGTCCAGGGAGGGGTAAATCATGGCAGGGGAGTCAGTGATGGCGATGAAACGGCGGATGGTGGCATCCAACTACCGAAAAGATACGAGACTCTGTTTGAGACTGCCGGCATTGTCCTCTTTCGGACTGCATGTTTCCATGTAACAGATAAACCCGGATAGATTCCAATTGGCCGAGACCAATAAATGCCAAGAACACAGGGTCTCATTACTACCTGTAGACTGGGGCACAAGCTGGAGAATGGCTGGACTTGATTTCACACCCACAGGCGCGGGGGGCTATTTAACACTCTCGGGCTCATCCACAGAGTAGTAGTTTGCATAGCTTCTCTATCAGCCGTTCTCTCAGTGAGAAAATGAAGTTTTTGAGGATCCTGACTTGTGGGTGGTGATTCCAATCGTTTGCCAGCGGAAGATCGTATCAAATAAAGTCCAGTAATGGAAACCAGTTTGCTCAGACTGATCGTCCATGAATACCGGGGTTGGATTGGCAGATAACCGAGACTGGGTATCAAATCATAGGAATACCACACATGCTATAGCATAATGAAGCTAGCGAAGGATTCGGTGACATCTCTCAATTCGGTCAGTATCTCCTTCTTGGATCGTATTGTCAATGGGTACACTTAGATTAGGTACCACAATTATAAAATCGGTTAGCGGCTCCAATGATATTATATAATAGGTACACGAAGGGATAGTCCTTACTCTACACGATTCTGCATCAGGAAAAAGCGTGGGTAATGTCATGCGGCTTACAAGGGAGTAGCTGGGATCAGGGATGGATCTTCAACACGTTCGTCCATGTGGAGACTCACCACGATGGTTGGTATAACATGGCACTTATGGTTTAGCATCATGTCCTATCACAACCAAGTATTGATGTGTTGGGGGTCTCAGTAGTGTATCATTTCAGTCGAGGACCAAAATCCCTCGTTCGGCACTTCGAAGATGGTGGGTGGATGAACCATGGGCTAGAGTATGAGGTGGATACATGCCAAACAGAAACCCCCCGAGGTCAGCCAGCCGTTTGAGCACGTTGATAGCTGTATATATATATACGTGGATGAGCGACCTGGAAAGTCAGATGCCCGTCGACTCAGTATGATACCCATACTGATCATATCCAAGACTCGCGCTTTAGAATTAAGTCGAGATCTTAAACAAAGAAACTTCATGACTCCTAATCAAATCATAAACAACGAACTGTCACAAACTTCACTACAATGACTCTTCTCCATGCACCTATCGCCATCACCGGCATTGGTAAGTTGCCATCAAGAGTTTTACTTTACACAAGAGCGTTGACAAGGCTGGATGCTAACGTACCATGACAGGATGCCGTCTTCCTGGGAACATCTCAAGTCCCTCAGAACTATGGCAGTTTTTGGCTGATGGACGTTCGGCACAGGGAGACATGCCGAAATCTAGATTTAACATGGACAGATATCGTGGACAACCAGGCGAGCCCGCTACCACAAGGGCTGCTGGCGG